TCTTATAATTCAAAACATATAAGCCTTAAATTTATAATGCTAAGTATTAATAATTTACTCTGTTTAAATGTGTTTATTTAAAAAAAACTACTAGTATAAAAGGTACTTTTGTCTTTCCTACTGAGTCACATGTTGTTGCTGTTTTCTATATTTTTGGCAAAGCTTCCCAAAAATCTAAATTGAAGTAAAATTTGGTAGCTTGTCATTTGATCAATTGAAGGCAATTTTGTGGAACCTCAGTAGAGCTCCAGAGAGACTCCACAAACTTTCTCCCTTTCCTCCTGGGAAAGTCATTAGATAAACTTGTCCTATTTGGTATACCTAATAAAGTTACACTAAAAGGGAAGTATTATCATTTGGAAAAATGGTAAAACTCTGGCATGCACAGAAATGTTAACATTGGTTTTCTAAAACAAAACCTGGTATGTATGTAAATTGTCAATGGTGATTGTTGCCTTGCAATATTGTGTACTTCAATGGTTTGATGTCTGCAGAAATTGTTTCTGTAAAAAACGAGGAGAAAAGGCCTCAATTGATTCAAATTGATGCAACTTTTGACAGTAAAAATTTTCTACAAAGGACTGCATAGATTGTTGGAGATACACCTGATTTTTACTAATATTTGTTTGACATAACACTGGAAATGTTATGTGATGATTGTTATCTTCCTGCCTTAATGCATATGCTTATGCACTCTCCTGGTTTGCTTGAAATGTATAAATAAAGGGCTGCTGAGACCCTCAGCAGGATGATGTCTGCACCCTGATCAATCCCTCCTCATTCCCCCTCCCCCTCATTTTCTACAATTGCGCCAACGCTGTCCCATCCTTCCGGAACCCCTGACACCCAGGCTGCTGCCGCTGGCTTGCGGCAGGATTCCAAGCAGCTTTGGCAGCAGCAGGTTCATCTGGATGAGGACCTAGAGGGTGGTCTGGATGAATTACAAGAAGGTGTCCAATGGTAGGTGACCATTTTGTAGCACTTCAACATCAGATTATACTATGTTGTGACTGGAATGTCTCTGTACTGCATGACTGGTATACAGTACAATAGCTTGAACCATTCCTGGCAGGCAATCCGATACCACCTGGACAGTATCTCTAGTAATATGTCCTTGGACATTCATGCTCTTCAATAACAGGTGTTGGCTTGTTTTTTGCATGACCTACCCAAGGAAACATGAGGGACTGGCTCAGGAAATAGCCGAGGCACTTCAGGGAATGAACTCATGATCATTTATGCAGAGCTTGAGCCACATCATTAGTAGTGCTGTGATTGTTTTACTAATATGTGATTATTTTTTGTGTAGGATACTCCTGCCTTGGCTGAACCATGAGTGAGTAATACTCCACCACAAAGATCATAGTCTTCTTTTTACAGAAAAACAAAGGGGGAGATGTTGCATGAGGATGATCGAGAGGTGACCTGAGGACGGCAAGGAAAAGGCTGACCAAAACGCTGAGAAAAATTGCCTGTGCCAGGACAGAAAACTGCCTGGGAGGGATGGCCCCATCTTACTTTGTCCTTGGAAGTCTCCTCGGTCGTAACTTAGCAACAGAGGCTCACAAGGACAGGCATGTCCGATAAGCCCAAGGGCTCACATACGTGGTATGTATGAGCTCACGTACATGGCGTGTGAGTCAAGGTTGTTTTGGCGTTCTCTGACTTAAGATAAAAACGCAGATGTCTTTGTTCATAATTCCTATATAACTATGCTGAGAAAAATAGAGAATCACTGCTAGTAGCTGACAGCAGTCACCAGTCTGGTGGGTCCTTCCCGATCAGCCTTGCAGGTCTCAGGGCCCACTAGAAGCTCACAACTCCTTTCTGGGAGTTGGTCTCATTTAGTCCAAAACCAAATGAGACCACTGTGGTCTCCCTGAGAGGTGATCAGCCTCTCCCATTATAGGGCAGGAAGAGGGGTACCCCAGACCCAGCAAATCTCCTGTTCTTAATAGGTTCTGCCATCCGCCGCATCAACACAAAACATATAAGACTTTAATGAAATGGAACTTTAATACAATTAGTAAACAATACAGGAAAGACAAAGAGTCTAGTTTCTAAATCAAGCACCCACAGTACCCATCTCCTCGTGGATAATAGTCCACCCAAGCAGGATTGGCTCAGAGCAAGGCCCCAAGCCTGTCACGAGTCCATAGCATCTTCCAGTGGGGCCCCACAAAAAAAGGTCAGAAACAACCAGACAAATCTGGGAGGAAAAGAGCAAAATCCAAACCAAGATAAAAGCTGCCATTGTTATCCTCCCCACAGGTCTCTTTGTGAAATGGGGGCAATGTGAAATGCAGCAGACCACACAAGGCCTAAGCTTGAGTTAGCTCAGGAGGACAAGTTAGGGCTGTGGGAAAATTCCAGGCCAAAACAATAGAGGCTGGGTTCCCATCAAAAATAAGATGTATGTACCCTTGTACCTGAAACATGGCATGTGGTGAAACGCTCCACTGCTGTAACAGCACCGTTCGGCTTCTGTACCCTCACTTGCTCTGGCAACTGCAAACTCACAGATGCGGCTTTTGGCTTTAAAAACCCTTATCACCCCCTGCTTGGGGCTGCTCCCTGTGAGAGGGACAATTGCCGGCCGGTTAATAAAGGCTTTTTCTAAATTTGATTTAGACTCGGGTCTGTGTCTAGGGGGAGACTCTACAACATCTCACCCATATCTGTTTCAACCAGTCCACGACCAAAAGGCAAGCGCAGTTTCTTCACGTGTCTCTCTGCTCCATGTGCCTCCTCCAGGTCTCCTTCTGGCTCTCTGTCCTGCTTCCTTCCTTTCTCTGTCTCTTCTGCAGCTTCTTTCTTCTCACCCTCCTTTGGGTGGGGCAGGGAACCTGGAAATTCCCCCTCTTCTGGGAACCACCCTATTACACTTTTACCACTCTGGGTAGGCCAAATGAGAACCAGGGTTCTGGGACCATACCTGATCCAACGTTGGCACCAAGTCCTAGCCTCACTCAGCCCTTTGGAAGAACTGCTGGGACGGCCTTGCGTTGACTTGGAGCAATAAAGTCAAAGACTGCTGAAGGGTCCTCAGCGGAGCGCAGTTCCCCTTCATTGGCTCTCCATCCCCTGCCCCACTCCCTGCCTTCCTAAGCCGATGGAAATAAACAAACAAAATGGACGAAAAAGACAAATAATGGAGACAAGTGGCCACACTGACACAGACAAGAACCCAGTGGTCTGCCGATGGGTTGGTCAGGCCACAGAAGGTCCAGGAGGATCTTCTACCAAGGGAGGTGATGATGTCTCATCACTGTCCCTGGACTCTGGAAGTAATGCTGTGTCCAGTCTTCCCTTGAGTCCCCAATACAAGAGAGCTCTAGAACACAAACTCACCTCTGGAGGACACAAAGAGTCAAGGGAGTCAGATCTGCAAATCGAAAAGCAAAAAGGTCCAGTTTTTGGTGTCATGTTCCATCAGAGGGGTGCCTAAAACCCCTCAAGGGGAAGGCTGACTTGGCATGTGGTAGGAAGCAATCTCGCTGGGGTCTCTAAAAAATGTTGAAGAGACTCCCCTTTGACGTAGGCCCAAGTCTGAATCAGATTTAGTCAAAGCCTTTATTAGCCAGCTGGCAACTGTCCCTCTCCTAGGGAGCAGAGGATGACAAGGATTTTTAAAGCTGAAAGCTGCATTGAGGTGCCAAAGCAAGCGTGAGTACAGAAGCAAAAAACATGCAGTTATAAACAGTGAAGCGTTTCACCATATCCTGGGCTCCGGGTACAATGGGCATGATGGAGGATAAGAATAGAAAAAACTGGAAAGGAGAAACAAGGTCAAGACCCTAACTCACACAAGGAGGTAAGGGGTAGAAGGGATTAGGATAAGCCATTAACACACTTATAGAAATCAAGACCCTTAGGCATCAACATCCAGATCAGGAGGTCCAACACCCAGAAACTGTCAGACTACAAATCATCCACCCACAAAGATGAGCCACCCTCTATCAGGAGAAGAGGATAAAGCCTAATGCTGCTGCCACCAAGGGGCAGCTCTTCCTGCCCCCTTGTGTCTATGCAAGTGTCTTTTACTATCCTATCTCTTTTCTAATAAACCTGTTCTTTATTATTTTTTAAAAGGTTTATTTATTTATACAAGGGCTGGGTACAGTCAGAAGTACGGGAGGAACGTAGTTGGGGGCACCTAGCCTCCTCCCCAAATAATTAACAGGAAAAACTTGAAGCATTTTTTCTTTCATTTATAAGGTTATGTCACATTATCTCTTACTTGTTTTTGAGTTTTTATTTTTATCTCCTAACAATTTTAGCCAAGTCCGGGCTGGAAATTTGGGCTGGAAATTAGTTTAGATTTTAGAATGGTTTCATAATTAGGAGTTGACACCCCCGCAAGGAGGTCAGTACTGGCTCTGGGATCAATTTTTGATTTTTGAAAAATAATTTCTTCATCACTTTCCCTCGTACCGCAGGCTATTTTTTCTTTACTTTCAGTTTCGCATCTCTCGGTTTTGTTAATATGAGGCTGTCAGCTGAGAACTTTTTGATGTCTTCTAAGGATACAGACAGCCTTGATTTTCTGAGTTTTTTATTTATCTTTTCTAATTTAGACCCTTGATCTAGCATGTCTAGCAGCAGCCCCCATAGCGAAAAGGCATCTATGGGGACTTTTTTTGGGTCCATGGAGAGTGTAATAGGTTGTTATTTCCTCTCCCACTCTGGCCCAGGAGTTTGCATACAGAGTTCTGTCTCTTGGAAACCAGGGACAACACATTTCAACAAAATTTAGGAAGCTAGCCAATTGTGCATGAGAGGTCTTAAGGCCTCTCTTAGCAAGTGTATATGTCACTATTTCAATAAAGAGTCCTCTTTCCCTAGACTCAATATGGCCTATAACTTCTCAAAATAAGACACCCACTCGCCTTATTGTTCTGAATTACTACTCCCTCCTACCCTTATTTCTCCACAGGGGAGTATGCACCCTACCCTATGGAGCAGATCCTAGCCATCCCCCAAGAGGAAAGAAAGATTACCTTTCAGGTCCCTGTTCCAGGCGCCACTTGTTGAAGACCAGCTTTCGGCAAAATGTCGGCTCAGGTGTCCCTGAAAGGATGAGACAGCCTAGGCAAAACTTTAAGGGCTGAAGGGAAGGGGAGTGAGGCAGACACACACACTCCTATGTTGAAGTGTCTCCTGCTGAGGGTCTCAGCAGGTCTTTATTTATACATTAAGGCAAGAGATGGGATTACATCATTTTATGCATAGAAGCAAAACAAAAACAATCAGTACATTCCTTTCCCATAGACATTTTGGCGCCTATGTGTTTTGAGAAACGAAATGACCTTAAAAGTTAATAGATAATTAAAATTTAGACTTATTATTTCAGCCTAAACAACTACCTAGGTCAGCTAACAGTCCTTGGTACTGACCTATTGCAGAGGCTACAATATCAGGAGACTCCTCTATCTATATGGCCTGCAGCTAGAAACCAGTTGCTTCCCGGTAATCAGTTGTTAGAACTTTTCTACCTAGAAACTCCTAGCGTAATCAACTTCGTGATTCATTACAAGGCTTCTCTACGGAACTTCCATATGAGGAATATTATTATGACCAGCTCTGGGTTGCTTATCAGACATGCCCTAGCACAGTAATTATTTCCCATTGTCAAGTGGGCCAAATTATTCAGTGTTTAATTTTTAAGCAAGTATTTTTCCATGCCACGTACTTACAATATTCTTATACATTTAATTTATTGACCAATGTATAGTCCATGAAGTTTTTTCTTTTTTATGACCAAGAACAAAAAACAAAGGGATGTTTAATCTTCAGCCCCACGGTGTGAGGCCCTTTTCTTAGCTGCTTGCCAGTGTCTTACTTGGCTGGGGCAGCAAGGCCCCCTGCAGCAGTGAGAGAATTCACCAGAGCCAGAGCGGGCAACAGAACAGGCATACCAACTAAACACACTGCTGAGGGGAGCAGCGGGCGGCAGGAGAAGTCTGTCATGCCATGTGGGGCCCTCGCTGGCGGCTGGGGATCGAACCGGTGCTGCAGAGGCTGCAGGCAGCTCCGCAGCCCAGCTGCTCAACCGCTGCGCACCAGGGGAGGCCCTAAACCTGTTCTTTAAATATGACTACCGACTCTGTCTCGTGGAAAGACTTGCTGCGTGCCTCTTAAACGGGAGCTCTGTTGAAACCTTCCCCAGAGTGAAACTGTTATAGGGCAGCCCCAATACAAAATGGGGTGCCTGACTGTGGGTCCTCACACGCGCACTTAAAAGGACTTATCAATACTCTACTGCAGGCACACGCATAAGGTTAATAAAAGGTTTATTTACAAGGGAAGGGGAAATGAGGAAATGTACAACTCAGGGAGAAAGATGGGAGACAAAATTTTAAATGCGTCCTACCCGATCTGCCGATCAGGAATCCCAAATGGCGCTCTGAGAGCTGGCCGTGAGCCAGGAGCCATGAAGCCAGGAGGCGAGCGACAGAGCGAGAGACCCTAAGGCCCACGTGTCTGGTTTTTTATACCCAACCTGGCTGCTTAACTCCACCCTCAGGTCCCAGCCACCTTCCCTTTGGTGGTGACGGGATTTGTCTTTCCCAATGTCTTGGTGACTTTGGTCTGGAGTGGGGGTGGAGTCCACAAAGCCTGTACGGGATTAGCTTCAGAACATCCTTTCCCCCTAACAAACCCAAGGACCCAGCACACTCTAAAAACTCCATCAGGGACAGTTTTTCTGACAGGAACCCGGCCTCCATTGTTTTGAACTGGAGTTTTCCTAAATTGCCTTCCTGAGATGGCCTAAGTTTAGCCCTTAAGGGATCTGCTACATTTTACACTACAACTCAATACTGACATGAACTCCCCCGAATCAGCACAGTGTGGGTCTGCTACTCCCAAGTGCCTGTTCGGCCACCATTTTGTAACCTACAGTTCTAAATCCTAAGTGAGGTCAAAATGACCCGGTCCATTAGGTACAGGAGCCCAACCCTGCAAGGTGCCTTTCAAATCAATCAAGAGCAAAGCTGGATCTCCCTGGGAAGGGTCTGCATCATGATGTATGACAGGGATCATCCCGGGGGGCTGATGACCAATGCATAAAACATACTCCCGACTTACACATCTTGAGATGTATTATTACAGGGTAACCCCAATATAAAACGGGTTGCCTGACTGTGGGTCCTCACCTGCGTGCTTCAAAGGGACTTATTAATACTCCACTGCAGGCACACACAAAATGTTAATAAAAGGTTTATTTACAAGGGAAGGGGAAATGAGGAAATGTACAACTCAGGGAGAAAAGAGGGAGATAAAGTCTTAAATGCGTCCTACCCGTTCCGTTCCGCCAACCTGGAATCCCAATGGCACACTGAGAGCTGGCAGAGAGCCAAGAGGAGCCCCCCAAGGCCCACGTGTCTGGTTTTATACCAAACCTGGCAGCTTAACTCTACCCTCAGATCCCAGCGACCCTCCCTGTGGTGATGATGGGATTTGTTATTTCCAGTGTCTTTGGCTTTGGCCTGGGGTTGGGGGTGGAGTCCACAAAGCCTGTATGGAATTAGCTCAGGACATCCTTTCCCCCTAACAGTATGACTGGGAATATGGCATGGGGGATGGAGGGGGGCGTGGGGGGTGGAGGACCAATGTATAAGCTCTCAGAAGCTGATCAGTGGAAAGCCTTGTTGATAAGATTGAAACCCTGGCTGGGGAACTAGAGCTTGATCTCAATGACAATACCAAGTCATCAAGCAGATGAGAAGTGCCTGGAGGGCAGACTCAACAGCCCTTGGCACTATAGATGACAGAGCACCTTTTTGAGTTTCACCCTCCCTTTCTCTTTTTCTTCCTTCCTCTCGACTGATACTTTAGAATTCTTATATCAATAAAAAAAGTCAGGAGCTTGCTCTTTAGCAGCATCCTGCATTATGGAGCCTGCTCCAGGACTCCTGTTTCTTTATCAGTGTGCTGTTGCCCGATGCAACAGCACAGGACCCAGGGGTTCAAGGGCTTAATCCTGCACACATGACCGCTTCCCACTTCAGATGGTGTAACCGGGTGGTCCCCAGGAAAAGGGGAAGTTCCAGGTCCCCTGCCCCACCCAAAGGAGGGTGGAGGGCCTCCCCTGGCAGCACAGTGTTTAAGCGCTTGGCTGCAAAGCTGCCCGCAGCCTCTGCAGTGCCAGTTGGATCCCCAACCACCAGCGAGGGTCCCATATGGCGTGACAGACCTCTCCAGCCGCGACCGCTGCTCCCCTCAGCAGTGTACTTCGTCAGTCTGCCTGTTCTGTTGCCGCTCTGGCTCTGGTGAATTCTCTCAGCCTCTCACACTTCTGACTGTACTGAGTGTTTGTATAAATAAATAAATCTTTAAAAAAAAATAACAAAGGAGGGTGGAGCTGAGCAGGGAAGTGAGAAAACTGGAGAAGAGCTTGGAGAAGGAAGCAGGATGGAGAGCCAGGAAGAGGCACGTGGAGCAGAGAGACACGTGTGAAGAAACTGCGCTTGCCTTTGGCCCTGGACTGGCTGACACAGATGTGGGATACTGACCCGTGGGGAGGTGACAATGGAAGCTTTTAGCTTGTTTTTGATTTTGCTCTTTGCCTCCCAAACTTGTTTGGTTGTTTCTGATCCTTTTCTGTGGGTCCCAGCCAGAAGGTGCTTTGGACTTGTGGCAGGCTTTCGGGCCTTGCTCTGGGCCAATCCTGTTTGGGTGGACTTTTACCCACGAGGGAATGGGTAACTTTGGGTGCTTGATTTAGAAACTATATTCTTTGTCTGTTCTATATTGTTTATTAATTATATTAAAGTTCCTTTCCATTAAAGTCTTACATGTTTTGTCTTGATGCGGTAGATGACAGAACCTTATTTAGAACAGGCAGGTTTGGGGGTTCTAAGGTACCCCTCTCCCTGCCATGTAACAATGGCAGTTGCAAATGAGGTGCCCTGATTACCCACCCTGTTTATTCACCCTGCAGACAAATTCCAAAGTTCTTGTTAGGGGGAAAGGATGTCCTGCGCTAATCCCATACAGTCTTTGTGGACTCCACCCCCACTCCAGACCAAAGCCATCAGGACATTGGGAAAGACAAATCCCGTCACCACCAAAGGGAAGGTGGCTGGGACCTGAGGGTGGAGTTAGGCAGCCAGGTCAGGTATAAAAACCAAACAGGTGGGCCTTCGGCTCTCTCGCTATCGCTCGCCTCCTGGCTTCATGGCTCCTGGCTCACAGCCAGCTCTCAGAGTGCCATTTGGGATTCCAAATCGGCAGATCGGATAGGACACATTTAAAACTTTGTTTCCCATTTTTCTCCCTGAGCTGTACATGTCCTCATTTGCCCTTCCTTGTAAATAAACCTTTCGCGTGTGCCTGCAGTAGAATATTGATAAATCCTTTTAAGTGCGCGGGTGAGGACCCACAGTCAGGCACCCCATTTTGTATCAGGGCTGCCCTATAACATTCTCATGAACCCCACAAATCCTTTCCGGTTTCATAGCTTTCTAGAATGGATTGATGAAATCCTTGGCTTTACTGAGGAGCCTACTTTAATTTTGAATTTGTATTTTTTTAAAAGATAGATTTAATTATGCATACAAGAACTGGGGTACAGGCCAGAGGTGTGCCTCTGTGTGTGAGAAGATTCACCAGATTCACCAGAGACAGAGTGGGAAGCAGAACAGGCAGATGTACTGAAATAAACTACTGAGGGGAGCAGCGGGCGAGTCAGGAGAGGTTTGCTGCGCCATGTGAGTATCTCCCTGGCTGAGGATCGAACTTGTGCTGCAGTGGCTGTGGACAGCTTCAGAGGTTGCGTCTCAACCTCTTGAGGCCCCTGAATTTGAATTTGTTAAGCTTACTTCCTTATTTGTATACTGAGTTCTTCCAGAACAAAATTTTCTGCCCTACATGTGGAAAGGACCCATCCTCAAACTCTGGAAGAACACAGCAAAGTCTTTGTGCCAGAAGGAAGAAATCGTGAACAACTTTTTAGAAACCTTTTTACTTTGAAAACTTACAGAAAAATTGCAAGTGCCCTACAACAAACTCCCACACAAACTTTTCTAAAATTCCTCTCTTATTAATATTACGACACATTGACTTTCTGGTTCTCTATGAGAAAATACATTATTGAGCAAATGAATATAATAAAGATTGCAGCACAACTTCCAGTCCAGGTGCAATGGTCACTCCAACGCAGGTGTAATTTTTTTTTTTTTTTTAATATTTAAAGGGGAGGTTTATTAGGGAAAGGGACAGAAGAATAAAGGACACTTGCATAGACACCAGCAGGCAGAAAGAGCTGCCCTGAAAGGGACAGGTTTGCTGAGAGAGAGGCCTACATAATTGCAGGTGGGGGGCCATGAGGAGAGTGACCTCCGCTGAGGGAGGTCAGTGACGAGAAGTCCTATAAGGATGCAGGTCACGGGCAGGCAAGAAGCTGTTGCCCTGTGGAGGGAGAGAGTTGGTGAAAAGAAGCAGCTGTAAAGGCACAGGTGGGCAAAAGTGTTACCAGATATTAAAGGGGTTGCCTGACTGTGGGTCCTCACCCACACTCTTCAAAGGGACTTATTAATACTCCACTGCAGGCACACACAAAAGGTTAATAAAAGGTTTAGTCACAAGGGAAGGGGAAATGAGGAAATGTACAACTCAGGGAGAAAAGAGGGAGATAAAGTCTTAAATGCGTCCTACCCGTTCCGCCGACCTGGAATTCCAATGGCACTCTGAGAGCTGGTGGCGAGCCAAGAGCTGTGAAGCCAAGAGAGAATCCCCAAGGCCCACGTGTCTGGTTTTATACCAAACCTGGCTGCTTAACTCCACCCTCAGATCCCAGCGACCCTCCCTGTGGTGGTGATGGGATTTGTCATTTCCAGTGTCTTGATGGCTTTGGTCTGGAGTGGGGGTGGAGTCCACAAAGCCTGTATGGAATTAGCTCAGGACATCCTTTCCCCCT